TGTACCCTGTGTGGCTTCCTCTACATCGGGGAAACCAAGCGGAGGCTTGGGGACCGCTTTGCAGAACACCTACGCTCGGTTCGCAATAAACAACTGCACCTCCCAGTCGCGAACCATTTCAACTCCCCCTCCCATTCCTCAGACGACATGTCCATCCTGGGCCTCCTGCAGTGCCACAACGATGCCACCCGAAGGTTGCAGGAACAGCAACTCATATTCCGCTTGGGAACCCTGCAGCCCAATGGTATCAATGTGGGTTTCACAAGTTTCAAAATCTCCCCTCCCCCTACCGCATCCCAAAACCAGTCCAGCTCGTCCCTGCCTCCCTAATCTGTTCTTCCTCCCACCTATCCCCTCCTCCCACCTCAAGCCGCACCTCCATCTCCTACCGACCAACCTCATCCCGCCCCCTTGACCTGTCCGTCCTCCCTGGACCGACCTATCCCCTTCCTAACTCCCCACCTACACTCACCTTTACTGGCTCCATCCCCGCCTCTTCAACCTGTCTGTTTCCTCTCCACCTATCCTCTCCTCTATCCCTCCTTTATCCGCCTCCCACTCTCTCCCTATTTATTTCAGAACCCCCCTTCCCCTCCCCCTTTTCTGATGAAGGGTCTAGGCCCGAAACATCAGCCTCTCTGCTCCTATGATGCTGCTTGGCCTGTTGTGTTCATCCAGCCCTGCACCTTGTTGTCTCACAATAAATCCCTTTTGTTATTCACAGACATCATGTCCATAACCAGTCTGTCCTGCACAACTCCCGAAACAGTATCCATTACTAGATACGATTCTGCACTTGGACGATATTTGTCCCACTGCCCCAAGATCAAAGAATTATGCTCTGTCAGTGCACAGTATAGTGCATTTGCATGTACTGGAAACTACAAATATTAATACAAAGGGCCCTGTACAGACAGTGCACCTTTCCAACACAACGAAAAGAAGATAGCCACTCTCTGGTTCATTTTTCAGAGCAATACCTTGACCAGAGTCAATCTGCCTGATTTAAGTGTTTAATAAAATTTGGTAAGTTAATTGTCAGTCATCATAAACTGGTGCACTCTCCATGGCAACACTTCTACCATCACTGTCCATTTGCCAACCAATCAACATACTTCTTTCATATGGCATAAAAGTTGCTTTCTTTCTACTTTGGTATTTCTTGCAAATTATCCTCATCAGTACAAGATGAAAAGCTTTAACAAAGTACACCCATTTTCAGCAGTTAAGGTCTGTGCTACCAAATAAAGATTTGTATTCTAAGCATACAACATCCTAACTGATAAACTTAAGTGAAAATAAGCTGCAAATGTTTTTATTTTTCACAAATCTCCTGTATGATGATTCACAATTGCGCCGATGCCTCATAAAACTAAGGTATAGAAAAAAAAGTAACATGTAAAACACAATGTTACACAGAATTTACAGGACAATGATTAGTGTTGGCGTTAATGTGCCATAAGTTTCCGCCCACATGATTTCATTTGTCATCAGCATATGCTTCTAATTCTTTCAACAGAATTTTTTTCAGAAACTGCAAGAGTAGCGTACCTTTTTGTTCATAATGTGCCTTTACATCAGTGAAAAACACACAACAACAAAATTACAGGTTTTGTCTGGGGAGAGTACTTTGAGCTTGAACACTCACTGAAAATACTGCTAAGGGCACATCTGTGGCTAATAGAACTGATCTGAAGTGATAGTTGACAGTATCATACCATAATAAAGTGTTTTAAATTTAGGGCAGTTATTGAAACCAGTAAGCATGCCTTTCCACAAAAATGCGTGTAAATCTGGAACAGTTTCCTTTAAATGTAATTCATGTTAGGTCAACTGAATACTTCCAACACAGAGTGACTTTTTTTTGCTTGCAAAGTGTATTAAGGGTTACAGAACCAAGGCAGCAGGCTGGGAGTCAAAACATAGATCAGCAATTATCAACAGAGTGCGAGAATAGGGCTGCATGGATGGATGGTCTAATCCCACGTTCCTTGCAATTCTATTGGCACTGCTGTAGTGCATACACAAAAATCAATTTAGACGCTTTGTTTTGAATACCTTATTAGTCAATTGCAGTCTACTTGTCAATTTATCTTAGAGCTTCATCGAATAATGGAAGCGGTGTTTTGCATTCTGGTTTGTTTCAAGCATTTTCAAAACCCTTTGAAATTTGAAAGTATTCTGGTAAACGTCTGCTTCAATTATCTTTACTTTGAACAATAAACCAAACAAAAGAAGGACTGAGCCTCAAAACAAG